TACTGTTCCAATGTAATGGCATAATGCCTGAATTTAAAATTTGTGTGAACATTTTAGTAAGAGAATTAATAATAAAGGGAGCCCCATGCTTCAACATTTCATTTGAAATCATATCAGTGCCTGAAGCTTTGCCTGACTTTAAAAGTTTAATATGCTGCAATAATGTACTGTAGAAGGGTTAATTATTAACTGGGTTTTAATTTTGCTTATTTTGCTGACTGGAAAATGCGTAAATTAAAACCCAGTGAATATCTAACATTTTGCATAGAACACAGTGTCTAAATGATAAAACCCACTGACTATGCCTGAAATAGTAAATCAGCGACAATTAGTCATTTTACATTAGACCCGCCGATATGTAAATATAACTAATTGGCATACTGTTGGTATAGTGGATGTATTGAGCCGTCCATTAATGGAGAACTCGCAATCAATACCAAAGTAATAAAACATCAAAACAATGGAATGTTAGGTAAAGCTTGGTAACCTTTTCAAAATAAACGAGAATGACGGGGACATTCATGGTGGTCTAATATGTGGTTTGGGATCATTTGAGTGTATTCAAGGCTGGTAACATAGTCGTCATCCGATTCCGTAACTGGTCATTTTTAGTTCCATGTGAAAACAAACTGGTTGACCGATTCCCCATTTGTTTTTTGTTTTTACTAAATTGTTATTGAATATCCGACCATTCCGTAGTTTCGTGCCATTCTTAGTGTCCATTATACACGACTGTATTACAGCGGATTACATTGGCATTTTTTTCACAGTGAATCGAAGTCCTGGCATGTGTTGGTGCTTCGCCAGACACACGTTTTGACATATTTTTAAAATGTTTATACTTGAAACGTGATTCAAAAATCTTGTTTTTTGCAATCCAAATACATTTTGGAATGTGTTTATGAGCGACATCAAATGAACCTGATACACAAAAAACACTGATACATACATTTATACACACAATACTTTTGAGATATCTTATCGGGTTCATGAAAAAAAATGTAACATGCAAAACATTTGCAATATGATACATTCATTAAAATCAACTGATCACATATAAATCAAATATTTATTACTAAATAGTAACATAAATAAGGCAGGGTTTGTGAACATATTGGGTTGAGAAATACTCTGACGAAACAATTCTGTTGGGAGATCCACACGAACCATTGTTTTTTTTATTATTATTAAAAGTGGCTAAGCGTATTATTTATATCTGCAAATGTATTTGAAAAAAATCATGTCTCCAATATATTAAACCTTTTGTTCAAAATATTTCGAAGACTGAATATGTTATTGCCAACAACAATGTCGCATACGACTTATTTACCACTTCCGTGTCACTGAGAATGTTCTAGAACCGTACTGTGTCTGGGTGGAATAATCTAGATGTTTTTTAGAAACTGGTTGAATAGGCAATAGAACACTGTAGGAGGCAATGGAAGGTAATGGAACATTCTAGAAATTTGTAGTAAGTTCCAGACTCATTATGTATGCTGATGTAATGGTCTATTTATAGACAGTGGGGGTATATATATGGGGAGTTGTTCAGCACTGAGTTCAGATCGGAGATCTCGTTGAATTGTGTTGGACTTTAAGTATCTAGTCATTGGAGTAGTGGAGTTTTACCGCGTTATTGTACTTGATGTTTGCAGAGTATAATAATACCAGTACCAGTTGAAACCTCATCTGTTGGCTCCGTGTTCGTATTTTATCATCGCCGCCAGGGAAGTCTTTCTGTTACTGTTGCCATTTTGGTATTTGAACCATCACACCTGTACTATACCAATTACGTTGCGTGTGACAAACAACAAAAATGCATTAAATGATTGTTAAGTATTGAAATGTATGTTTTAAGAGACTTGACTCAATGAGATATCTTTAAACAAAACAATAAATAAATAAGCCGATTAAAGATATTGTATGAACGTGCATTTTTTGCAACTTATTAAATCCTCGACTGTGAAACTATGTATGTTTACTGAAAGTCAAATATTTCGTGAAATTGTACAAATAATCCTAAATAATGGTGAACCTCTCCTGTTTTGAAAAGAAACACCCAGCCAACTGTATTGAATGCTTTTCCCCCAAAATTCAGTGCTAATTGCAGTGCTTGTAAGTTGTGTATTATGTGTGTGGTGGTAAATTTAGTCCATGAGTCTGAATTAGTCACAAATTGATCGTCTCTTCACAACTTGAAATGCTGCTTGTGTCTGGCCTTTTAAATCGGGCAAAACAATCTCGAGGCGTTTAGTTAAATATTTTGAGGCCAGTTTGACATCTACTTTCATTGATATTGATATTCTACGTACGTTGATACTGGCCTCCAATTTTTCAAGCAGCAGACGGTCACGTCATGACTGAAGTTCAGGATAACTATGTTTAAATGTGTTGTTTAGATAGCCCATAAGTCCATATTGAAGTCCGATCGGCGAGGGCGCTTACATGTCAGGCTGACTAAAGTCACTCATTGTTTATTTCGATTTGTTCTCAAGGCTTTGTTGTGCCTCCAGATCTTTCTAAAGATTGTCAATTGTAAAGTTTAAGTTCCCTCTCCAAACAATGATGCAGTTAAGATCTGGAATTTGTTCTGTGATTTTAACTTTGAGGTTTCCCAAAAAATATATTATACTCATTACCTTGTTTGGTGCATATGTGTTAATTGACAGACGTAGCGAACTATATCTGTATGCAGTACAGACATTCTACCATCGTCAAACCAATATTCCCCTTTGAACTCAGATACCCAAAATATTTTATCCATGAGTGTGGTGTGTGTTTTTTTAAATATACAATATTAATATTTTCTTATCATTTATCCAGATTGATATTCTTTTTGAATTCCTGGCGCTTCTTACATTAAAAGTTATCAGTGATAATGTAATTCCTGTCTTTGCATGAGAGTTATTGTTTCTTTCACAGAAACTAGAACTGTATTCTTTACCCAAAACACTTTAAAACACAAAAACTGGACACTAACACACTGTACCCTTGGACACGTTGATTATTTAAATAGTCATGAAATATTCTGGAATGTTTTGAGGTCCAGTAAAATGTAGATGATTGTAAAGATATTCTAAAAGTTATTCATACTTGACAGTGCGAGTTAGAAATTATTTAAAATACACCCAAATATGCAAATTTAGTCATTATAGCAATACGGTTATCGATTTTGATCAATACTTTCAGCATATTCCATTTAAGACAGAGCTCGACTAGTATAAAAAGTTTCATTTTGATTAAAAGGCGGGGGGTCGTCATGCCGCGCATGTGCAACATTTGTGTTGGTAAACATTGATTTTCCCACAAACAATGCATCTTCTAATGAAATCGCGAGTACGAGTTTTGAACTGGGCGCCACTTGCAACAATTACCACTGGCAACTTCTTCGATATTTTCCAATCACTAACATTTTCTTTGAACTATGTAAATGTGTTTGCAGATTAGACTGATACAACCTGTCTCAGCGTGGCCACGCAACGTGACATTGACCGGAGTGATTGCCTGGAAATAGAACAAACGACGTGTGCATTCCGTCACGGTGAATCGTGCTGCCAAAGACTGTTCTACTAGACGCCACCTACGACAGGGTACAAGTCCCATCCGACGCACAGATGTACTGTAAAATTATTAGTATTTCACCAGAATTTGATTTCGCTATCATCGCAAATCCATAAAATTAAATTCACATGAACATGTAAAATATTAATGAAACATTGTTACGCCGCAAAATGCGCGAACTTTAACATACTCATCAAAATAGTAAAAGTAAATGAAAGTAAATGTTTTTACAGTATATACAATCATGGTCTTTTACCTCCATGATACAATACACTAATGTATACTTGTGGTAGTGAGAGAATCTGACTCACTGAGACCATAGAGATAAAAAAAATAGATGAGCTCCAAGCTGAAACCAAACCATATTGTTTGTTTTCATGTTAACGAATGTGTGTTGGCTAATACATAGCTAGCGTGACGAGGTCGCGTGAGTTGCGTCCTCCACGGTGATCCAAACCCAACAGTGAGGTCTGATGCCATTCGGCTGGCGAGGGCCTTCTCACGCCCACATGTCAGGCTAATGCGTAGCCGACTTTGCTTGAACCTGGATGGCCCGACTGCGTCTGACAGCTTAGGGACTGGATTGAAATTCGACCACCGCCGTCTGTAGGAGATAAGGGGTCAAATATTAGAAATAATGGGGGTGGAATGGAAGAGTATGATCAGTGCTTTTTTTTCGCAGTGATTGTCTGAACATTTCTTTTTTTCCATAAATGTGGTAATATGTTTGCTTTCTTTCTGTCAGTGTCTAGTTTGTAAATCTTTCAGCCAAACCCTTGATTTCAAATGCCGACCCCTAAAGACGGAGGAAAGTATAGCAGCCAAGTTGGAAAGGATGACGAGAAGACAGCCCTAGCAGTCTGGCTGATGACATTCATGCCAAATATGCTTGATTACCTACTAGTCACGGTATTCCCCTGAGTTATTCAATAAAACAGCTGAAACGAATATTACTGTGTGACCGCGAGTTATTGCATAGAATAACCCTTCTCCTTTGTTTCAGTATCTCACAACCAAGGTCCCGCGGATATCTACAAGTCTGTCATATTTATAGTAGTTGGCAGTAAGTAACAGACGAGTTTTGAGTTCCCGGCCGGCGTGTTCCACCTGCTTTCCGCGAAGCATAGTCTCTTTCTATTAAAACGATCGATTCATTGTTTCCTTTATATTCTAGTTTTTACAACCGAAAAAAACATATATTTTGATACTTATATACTTGTAATTGATTTAGAAGCTCAACACAATTCTTTAGCCGACATTATTATTATTATGGCTGTTTATATATATCTGTATAGTATATTTCGTATCCTAGTAGTCGCCCATACATAAACATAACATATTGAATGTACAACACGTGAAACAAAGTACAGACATAAACCTACATTTAAAATACAAGATTTCTACAGAATATCAAATACATTTCAATGAAGTTAATATTGGTTATCCAATGAAACATATTGAACAAATGCCCCTTTTTAAAATAGTACTCAAGTAATACACCACCTCAACACCTACCACTAAACAAGGTAGATTTTAAACTTCAATTCGACAGTTATATAGTTTTTGATAGAAAATGCATGCCTCGTCAATCGCTTTTGTTACTTCCATGGGTAGATTATCCATATCTCTAGCTGCATTGGCGTCTTTCGTTGTTTTGATAAAGCCAGTTGAGGTAATGAGAGTAGCAAACCACTCCTTCTCCCAGTCGCCCCAACCTTCGATTGGACCAGCCTCCCAGTGTAGCATACTGTCTGTATATTCAAAGCATACCTCGTGACAGTACCGCTGCATCACTGCTGGCGGGTTATTCAATAAATCATCATAGTCTACCACTACTGGCTGTTGACCAAGTTTATCTTTAATATGAACGTACAATTCCCACATTTGACGAAATCCTACTTCTTCGGCACAAAAAGTTGACCATTCAGGCACCGTGCCATTTACTGTCAGCTTATACAGCGATCTTACCGAATTGCACGGATTGCGTATCAAGAAAGTGTGACGGTATCCTACAGGGAGGAACTGTATATTGTCCGTGATGCAGTAAGCCTGGTCTTTTAAAAATACGCCGCCGAATTCTGGAAAAGTTCCCTCTAATGTGTCTCGCACTTCCTTGAATGTACGGCCCTCAACTGGAGGTTTGCCTTTGTATCGTTCACTGATGCTATCTTTTCCGCAGTAATAGGCTTCTGTATAATACTCGAAGAATACTCTCACTCCTTCTAATGTGCGTATTGACCGCTCAAACGCCGTCGAACCACTTCGCGGAGCAGTCCACAGCACGACCTTTTTAGCAGAACTACAAGATGTCATTCTTCCACCCTATCTCCCAGGCAGAGTTCTAATTCTAGTCTTAGTCTAGTCTTTTACTACGTATTTAGGTACCAGTACATCCTGGCCGCAAGGATCTCTGGGAAGGAGAATGCCTTCCACCTTCCGCTTCGTGTGACATCTCGCGAGACTTGAATTTCCCTAGCAACCGGTTGCTAGTCACGTGATACAGGTCAAGCTTTGATTCAAAATGGCGCTAAATCGTTTTGTGCATTAGTAAATTCGGAGTTTCATCGCCAAAATATAAAAAAATATGCTTCTAATCTTGCAATCGCTAAAGCTCTGCATGATTCGGAACTCGAAGAAGACCCCATTATGTTACGCCACCAGTGGCGGCGGCACGCGGGGTGCAGAGGGGCGAAAATAATTTTGGAGGGCGTCGACATTTCTATAGTACAAAATGATGTATTGATGTAATGATTGATGTTACTGGATGCTGCATTTAAATACCCCTATCTAAATTAAATAAACAAAATTATATAAACGGCAATGAACTTGATTTATTAATAACTTTTGAAATAATGTGAGCATACCATACAAGTTTAATGTATTCCCTGCTAGTATATCTAGAGGCTTACAACAGGCGATGGGGGCACACGTAAGCCAACAGTGGATTTATTAAAATATGTATTTTGATCATAAAAACACCTCTGTCACTTACTAAGAGCATATTATTAACACAATGTTCAGGTTATTTATACCAAATCGGGAAAATATTACCGATATTTATACCTATCTTGACCAGAAAAAAGACCGATACTTATACCTAAATTAAAACAATTAAGCAGCCTCTCAGCTGAGATAGCTCCGCTGTTAGCAATGCACATTTCAATTAAAGAACAGAAGATATCATTAGAAAATGAACAAAATGAATGTATAGTATCAAAACAATCAGACTTGCGGTTTTCAACAAGAAGTGGAAAAATATCACTTTTTACCAAAAATATTCATCAAAATTAGAGAATTGAAGATATCATCATGAAATGAACAAATCTGAGTTAGAACCACACGTAGTATATATACGATGCTGCAGTAATAACACACGAATGGAATAAGCACTAAATGTTTAAATAAAAAACAAATAATGACCAAATAATAACCAAACAAGTTTCCAAATAAAGATCAAACAACTAAACAATGTTCAAATAATGACACCAAGCTAATTTTGGCGGTATTCTCACCCCATAGTAGTGTACAGGCTCTAATTATTTACAGGTAATATTTTACTTTTATTTTGTGATTTTTTGTTTTTAATGCCGCCCTACATACCTTGTTGGCTTTTGTAATTACCAAAACACTACTGAAACATACAAACACCAAGTCGGCTGACATGTTATGTTGGTGGAAATATTTGCATCAAAAGTAACCACATAAACAAAGTGCTCATAGAACTTTAAGAATAGACGTAGAAAATCATCAACTTCTTGGTCAGAAAGGTTACTCGGCAGTACAGCCTTCATTGTTGGAGCTGAAAGAGAAGCAATGTGTTGATCCAAGGAAGCTTTCCCTAACAAATCAAATAGATCCCTCTCATTTGACATATGTTACTACTGCACCCAAGTGAATTTCAAACATCAAATATAACATGCTTCCTAGTTGTATAGTAGAATTAAAACTGCAGCAGGATTAATGTAGTTAACCCTTACCAAAATTCATTAGACAAAATGTATACTTTTTGTGTGCAAAAAGTATACAAATTCTGAATAAATTTGTACATTTTATGTATAATTTTTGTATCCAAGAAGTACCCTATATTTGGAACAGATTTGTATACAAAAAGTATGCAAATACTATGCAAATAGTGTACAAAAAATGTACTTTTGTATACAAGAAGTATCCCATATTTGGAACACTTTTGTATACAAAAATTGTACAAAGCTCAATTCATAAATAGGGCATTTATTTAACAAAATGAAATTCAACTTCATTGTACATTTCATTTGCCCAAGTGTATGGCCTTATTACACAACAGCATGTATTTGTATTTACCCATTTAGAATTCAATTTATCAATTGTTTATGCTATCCTGACTGACTATATAATACCCCGGTACATTCATTTACAACCTATGTTGTATCTGTTTGACATATATGTGAGCCAAGGATGTACAACAAACTGACTGTGGTGAGAGTAATACTGATTTATTTCATTGTATTTTCCTCAACTGAAAATGCCAAAACTAGATATATAATGGGAAATTAAATTTTAATTTAGTTAAATTGATCAAAAAAAAGTTCATAAAAATTGGCAATAAGTCATGTTAGCATCCAAAACAGGATAATTTGTAATATATGCAAATTAGGCAAACTCTAAATGACTTTGATGGGTAATGTATTATACACTCTGCTTATAATGACTGAATTCTTTCAGTAAACTGTAGTAAAAATATAATTTTACTGATATCCAAAAATATACTTTAGTATTCCTGTAATTAATCTATTAAAAATGTTTTTATACTCTCTTATGAATTTAATTGAATATTAAATTCCATATTTTTGTACAGTTTATGTATACATATATTGTATGACTGAGCGTAGTTAAGTTTATTCAGATTCTAAGTCCAATTTTTGTACATTCTATGTATACATAAATAGTACTAATATTTGTCAAGATGCCAAGTCAATTTGTACAATTAATGTATACATAAATTATACTTCATTCTGACATCATTGTAACATAAATTTTTTTGGTTACTCTTTATATCTTAGTTATGATATTGTACATTTTATGTATATGTAAATTATACAATATTTAGGCATTGAATCCTATGCAAAAAGTCTGTACATTTCTAGTATACAACAAATATACATTAATGAATTTGTATAAAGTATGTATACAAATAATGTACTGCTGTTTTCTTGTATGTATGAATTTTGTATACAAATAATGTACACAATTTCAAAAAAGTATACTTTTTGTACAGAATATGTATACAATTAATATACTATTGGGGCGTACAATTTGGTAAGGGAAGACAAATAACTTACAGATTGCACTTTTTAACAAGTTATCCAAAATTTATATAATCTTAACTTAATAGCACAGACCAATTTCCAATGTGTTCATGCTAATAAATTTGGCATGTTAATGTTAATATCCCCAGAAATAATTGAAATTTGAATATATGCATACACATATTTTGGCAAAACAATGAATACATTTATTGTATTAATTAACAGTAAACAGACATGAGTCATGTTTCGGTGTAATGCTATTTTTTATTGGTGATTCTACAATAAATAATATTTTTCTTTTTTTTAAATTTATTTTTTCAAACAATATATTTGAAATAATTCAATAGAAGTTAAAGTGACCATGATACAGAATTTGTTCAGTGAAAAGTTACAAGATAAAATGGCAAAATTGACAACATCGCTGCCATTCTCAAAAAAACAAACTTTTTGGCTCAGACTTAGTTTAGAGTGTGATTGTAATATGATTTATTTCATGATCAACACGAACACATGTTACAATAGAAATATATGTTATCTAAAGTTGCCTTATATATTTTCCAACTCTGATTGTTACTTATCAAGCAGATAAAGCCAGAGCTGAAAGAATTGAAAGCAAATAAAAACAGATGTAATATCATAAATTTTGACAAAAGTTATTAATATGAATTATAAAAAGCAAAAATTAGATCTATAACCACAGAAGATGTTTCTAAACACTGTCGAATGCATCTGAGTTAAAACACATTAACTGCAGTCTCATATTACTTTTGAAAGTATTCAATTCTTCCTCCAGATATCTGTAAGAAACAAGAAAATTAAATGAATACTTTCATTAAACTATACAAACTGAGGTAGGCTGACATCATATTGTATTTGAGTCCAGCGTTTTTCTCACTTTGTATTCAAGCTTGTATTTACTCCTGACTGAAAAACATAGACATTGACAGCATAATTCAAAATATTTAATTGCACTGCACAATTTAAGATTGATTAAGATTAAGATTGATAAAAATCAAAAATGACTTACTTTTTGTCTCTTGCACTATTAACTGAGGGGATGAAATTAAAAGCTTCTTTGAATGACGAACTGAAAATTAAAGTACAAAATTTGTGAGATTTTACGCCCAACAAAATATGACAGTTTAATAGTAATAGAGCTGTGTGTGTGTAAAATTATGTTTTAAATACAATAAATCTGTGTGATTGAGCTTCATGGAAACTGTACTTGAAAAAATACCTTAACACAGTTATCACATCAAATTTTGTGCAAACAAACAAACAAACACACAAACAAACAATGTAAGACCCATTTCATACAAGAACTTCTATAAAATCCAAACACATGAGAAAAACTCTGAATAACTTTAATTAAATATTTGTTATACCGGTATATATTATTTGGAAACTGTATTTTCATATTCTCCTCCTAGCATTTAATGCCAAAGAAATCAGCAGCTTTGAATAACAATTGGTGACATTTATTTATTTATTATAACTCAGGTCAACATGCATAAAGCCTCAGCTCTTATGGGGGCTAACATGAGAGAAAGCAATCACCCTGCACAAATCCACTCTTGTTTGCGATGATGGTTCTTTAATATGCACTGTAGACAGAAACAGGACATTGCAGTGACAGTATTGAGTATCCTTACTTTGACGCAGCATTGCCATAGGACAATAAGGAATCTTTCAATGCCAGTAACTCCAATCTAGCCTGGATTGCACCAGCATTATTAAAACCCTCTGCACAACTGATAAGACGACAGACTTCTTCCGCTAATGACTCCACCACTTTGGTCATCATGCGTGAAATGAATGCAGGTGAGATGGCATACACCTCCGCATGGATAGATATCAGGTTACAGATTGCTTCTTTCACGTAAGAACGTACACCTATCAAAACATAGTCATTGTCAATGGTACGTATTATAGATGCGATATATATATATATCACCTAATGTGTGATGTTTAAACTATATTGGTCTAGGCATGTGTGGGATATGGCTTTGTGGAATTTCATTCTACATACAAACAGGGACTGATAAATGGATGGCATACTAAACTTGGGTGTGACTTTATGCTGATACTGATAGGTAATATATGAATCTTCAAGTTGAAAATCACTTAGATAAACAAATTTATTCTGATCACAAAAGAAATTTAAATGGCACAACCATTACAGCCCACATTTTTGCATCATACACATTTTATCTAATGATAAAGGTAAAGGTATAAATATTGGTGCATCTAAAAATTGGCTTTTAAAACAACATCATAAACAATGATATATTATCGATATATTATAGATGCAAGATACATGACCTAATGACCTAATGGCGTGATGTATGTGTGAATTTGATTGTGACAAAAAAGCATGTACAATTGTTTGATATGATGTCTGATGAGAAGAACAAACTAATCCGTTCAGCCAAGCCAGAGATGTAGATCTCGTACTGCATTTTTTTTAAATAAACCAGAATGGAAAAAATGTGTGATTTTGATGCATTTTTTTTGCCTTAAAATGGCTACCATTCAGCCATCTTGAATCAGATTATAAACAAATGCATGTGAATATTCCAGATATGATGTCTGATGTATGTGTGAGGTTTGAACTTGATTAGTCCAGGCATTTCAGAGAAGGGAATCCGGGACTACATTCCTTGAAACAAAATATCAGCCATTATTAACCTTGATCCAAAAAATAAAATGAAGTGTGTAAAGATCCCATTGTGTTCAATATACCATACTCGTCTGACTCGGCATCTATTCTAAACTAAGTGCCACTCTTTTGAGGCATTTATGAAGTCAGGTTCACATTTGGCTAATAGCCCATCCCTTCCAAATTACTCCAAATGTGACAAATTTGTCTAGTCACAAAAACCTGGTCTTTGAGCATTGTTTTACTTTTCTGAATTATCTGCAATCAAATTTATATAACACAGCATGGACAGTTTTTAAGTAAATTTTTATGATGAAATAAATTCCAACAAATAAGTAATTCAACATTGATATTTCATTTTCGCATTGCTTAGCCAGAATGCCTTCGGGAATTCCCAGAGAATTGTGACAGTACAACATTGCATTCTGATTGGTTAATATTAACAGACATGACTCATTAGGTCAAATGTCAAATGATGTTATTTCAGGTCAAATCAGGCAAGAAAACATCATGGCAAATTGCTTTGCATCAGGAGTTTACATACAAACGAAAATTTTCAATGAATATGAATGATTGTTTTCTCACAGACCGTAATAATTTTACACGTAAATGCTGATAGTACATGTATGTAACTAATATTGTAATAAAATGTATCTACCAACTAGTCTAAATCACGTCTGGCCACACACGGGTGAGATCTGGTTCTAGAATGATGAAAATGTAATAAATCTTTTTAGGCTTAAAAAGGGTGCCCCATTCAGACATGTTGAATCAGATCATAAAACAAATGCATATGTCAATATAATGTCTGATGTATGTGTGGAATTTGAGACTATTCTTTCCCAGCCTGTGAGAAATACTGTTGGCTATGGACAGATGCACATAGATGGACTTTGTCCAAATGGGCACAAACAAGCATCACTTTGTACCAGCACAATTACGATTAAAATGTATTGATCAATCATTTTATTGACTGATTACTTACCGACAGGTCTGTCTAATGTTTTCCAGTCTAAATATCCAGCATACATTCCTTGTTCTAATAAACCAACTACTGGGTCCGATTTCTGTTCTGTATATGCTTCAAACAGCTTGTCATCTAACTCTGAATAGGCAAGTTGTACACTCTGTAAGACATAAAAAAACCATGCATGTCTTTATACGTCATTAGGGCTAACCCACTTTTGACACTGGAATTTCCTGATGATTGTTCCATTTGACTATTTTAATGACTGAAAAGAAAAAAATTGGTCTGTCACCGTCTGGTTGACATTAGTACTCACCTTGCTTAATATCTCCCACCAAATGAGCTAATTGCCAAATATCCTCAATTTCCATGTACATTTCCTAATTAAAGTAAAAACAATCAGGATTGGACTTACTTTTTCAACTCTCTTCATATCAGGATAACCGTGTCTCACAAAATGTTCTTTTAGTCTTGGGATGACTTGATTAGCGACATAGTTGCAATTTCCCAACACTATCACCAATCTCTCTTCCTGCAAAGACGAATATCAAGATGTATATTGGTATTAGTGGTGAAACCAGCTTTTATCTAGGATAGGTGGTTGCAGAAACTACCTGTCCATCTGTTCTAAACAGACAGATTGTACCTGTGACAGATTGTTGCAAGAACTTTCATTCCTTGTAGTATGAGCATTGAATGTTATTTGCAAACCAGAAATCACAGATAAAAAACTTTAGCAGAATAGCATGGAACATATCAAATGTTGTGTAACAGTGAAGGTCAGGAAAATATGTTCATAATTTGTTTGAAATTAGAAACAAAAACTAGATTTGGTTATTCATATTTATTATTTACATTGTATTTTATTTATTGAATGTTGCTTTAAAAATAAAAAAAAAATGGTGGAAATTGTATTTCTTAGGATTCAATAAATTATTATTATTATATCAAATCAATTAATATTGTTTCAAAATTATATCAATAATTAATATATATATATATAAATATATATCAATATATCAATAAACATGTGATGTAGTCATAATAGTAAAATATAAAACACTAGAAACCTACCATGGATGGTAAATTATCTGTGCTCACTGACTCTATATAACCAACACTATCCCTGAAAACAAATAAAAATTACGCCATATTTCACATTTCAGGGTCAAAGCATAGATTTATTGATCGTACAGTGAAATTGAACTTGCATGGTTATCTAAATCATATGTAAGTTTGAGCAAAATCTGACAAATTTAAGTTATTACAAAGCAATAAAAATAGGATTATGATGTTTTCTCCATGTAGATAAGATGGGAAATCTGTTTTTACCATTGAGTAGAAAAATTAAACATTTTTAGTTTGGAATTATGATGTAATAGAGTATATGTTACAGATGTTTGCATGTACCAGAAAAGGAATATGATTGGTTGGTCACAATCTATCCTGTGAAATTGCCCAGAGTTGATTGGATAAGACACTGACAGGAAATAAATAATTACAATTCATTAATAAATATTCAAGGACCATTACTTACATGTGGTGGTCAGCCTCCACATCAGTTTTGAAAGTCAATTCATCCAAACATGTAGCAAATGACTATAACAGTAACAAATATAAATATTAATATCAATAATGAGTAACATAGGACATCACAAGAACATGTGACACTAAAGAGAAATTCACAAAATAGAGAAACAGAAAAACTATAAGAAATTCAGATATTTTACATTAAAACAGATCTTTCTTAATGTGTTGCATTCTTGGGGTACAAAGTACAGCCTATGTTAAACCAATGCAGATTTTGAATACACACTTCAATATGTCTAAATAATATGCATGTGTTTGGGAAAAATATTAACACCTTTGACACTTTACTTTAGATATATTTGTTTTTTTGAAAATAAAAAAATAGGAAAAAATGAAATAATGATCATGGACTATGCATGTTGCCATGGAAATAGGCTACATAAAACTCAGTGATTGCCAGCAGCGGGTTTGCTCAGTTTGCTGGACGAATAGATACAAGCATTTGATGTGCCGTGCACAAGGATGCAAGATGTGTTCCATACAAACTGGCCAGGTTATATGCAAATTGAAGCTCATGAATATTAATAGCAACTCACCAAAGCTGCACTACTTCTAATGCAAGCAATTTTGCTCGCAATTGTCATAAAAAACTTGTAAACACGTTACCCTGGACAGTACATGTACATCCAGTAAAATATTTTTACTGGATGCACATTTTTAGGTATTTTTGGATATTTAAAATATATTAATTCTCTATGGACTAGCAGGTGCTGATGAAAATGTTTGCAAAAATATGCGAGTTTATTATGAGAAAGATAAAAGTTCATGTTGGCATTTGAAACTATGGGATATTTGGGTAATACCTTCAACATCTCAGCTGAGAGTCTGCTGGCTTGCTTCTGAACAGCCACATCTTTGAACAACTATTACGCAAAAATAAAACATACATTAGAAGATATATATGTATGCAAGCTGAATTATTAAATGCAAGCAACAACAAGTTGCATTCATGTTATCCTGATCATAAATCAAGAAATCCGAGAATATCTAAGCATCCCAAACATACTACAACAAGCTGTAATTGCACAAATTCCACTGTACAATTTTGTTTTTGTTTGGGATGAACTATAAAAGTATGTCATCAAAATTGAAAACATTCCAGATTATTCATGTCACATTTGAACACTTTCTATTGTTAACGACAAAATGGCACCTCTATGAACATAGTATGAGAGAAATAAAATTCTCTAAAACACGAAATATTTTCTGTTCCAAGTGACATTTTTCATTATCTTATTAAATCAAATATAAAAAAGAAAACTATGTATAACAGTGAGGTTATCATGAGTGTACCACAAAGTATACTGAGGCAGTACCAGACTACATTAGCATACATGTACACTATGCATCAGTTGATAGGGATTGCTGTACTGCCTTTGTGCATATTTTTATGATAACTTCATACAATATAACAAGCAGGGAATGTTACAGTTGCTTTTCTTCATGTATTTTGATGTGCTAGACTAGTATACGATTGCCAGCGTACCAAATTTATACAAGAATTCAACAAAAAATCAATCATTAACAAAATGACTGCCACTTGACCATCTTTGATTGAATCATGACACAGATCAATTTTTATTCACAAACTAGATCCAGATAACAAATTTTGATCTAATTGGGCAACATGAATTTTAGATATAAACATTTTGTGTAAAAATTAACGTATGAATGGTACCTTGTTTTCAAATTCGCAAGACAAAATGTTTAATCAAAGAAAGCTTAGAAAGAACTCTTGTGTGCTGAGAGTATTGAAAACACATTAAAAATTAATTCAAAATTACCTGTACATGAGATATTGATAGAAAAGCTGAAAACTAATTATGTACATCAGGTAACTAATATGAACAGAACAGAACAAAAAAATTATGAATTATTATGCTAATTAGAGAATTAATATGAACAAATTTTAACCCAAAATTAATCAGGCCTGTCTATTGTCCTAGAGCATTTATGTACCAAATTTTATTCAAATGTGATGATCAGTAATTG